CTGCACTGCCCTGGTGAGACATCCCCTGCCCACACAGCAGCAGCAAGAGGCACAACCCCATGCTACTGCAGGGGCAAGCAGGGGATGCCTCACCAGGGCAGCACAGAGCTCGCAGCAGCAAGCAGCTTCCCCACATGGCGTTGCTCTGCCCTGTAGTGCCAGGTCGCACCAGCTGGGGCCCTCCTCTGGCAGGGCTGGGGGGCAGGAGCTGTGGGTGAGGGGTGGGGGGCACCAGCAGGACCAGGGGGATGTGGCTTGGGAATGAGGAGCCTTGACCTGTGTTCTGTGAGCTTAGTGGGTAGGGGGAACTCTGATTTTTCTGATTAAAAAAAAACCCAAAAAAACCCCAAAATCAAATACCAAAATTGATAGGTATTTAGAATTTATATTATTATAGTGATTGAGGCACTAGCAGACTTCCAAATTGCTTTAAAATTGTAAATATATCAAGAAAACATTGTGTTCAACTGGTACGTGTGTGTGTGCGCGCGCGCGCATATTCTAATATAATAAAAGCCTTTGTCTCTGTCTGTCTTTATTTGCACTCTGATTGGTTGTCTCAGCAGCCAATCGGAGCGCTCTGCACAGACAGCTGCGGACAGTGGAGTGCCCTCATGACAGCAGGGACTGAGGGGCTGGAGCCAAGGGAATCCCCCGGCAGCTGCCCTGCTCCAGTCTCAGCACATGGCATCGGGCCACTCCCAGGCCAGCCGCAGCAGAGCTCCAGGTGCAAAGCCAAGCCTATAGCAGCAGCCACCTCACAGCATGGCTTCTGCCAGAGTGTGTAGCAGCCTCCCTGCATGCCTGGACGAGCTACATGGGCTCCGACCCTCACCCAGCCCTCCTGGCTGGGGCCCCACTCACCTGGTGGCAGGGGGTATGAAGGTTGATCATCCCACTTACCCAACCGGTCCCAGTGGCAGGGGGCTTTGGCTCATCCCAGCCACATGCGCCCTGCCGCTCCCAATGTGGAGCCTCTGACAGTAGATCTCAGTCTTGGGGGGCTAGCTCCTCCAAACTAAGACAGACTGTTAGGAGCTCCCTGATCAACCAGTAGATCGCGATCCACCAGTTGGTGACCACTGATCTGTTGCTTTCTGTGTCTACCTTAGGTAGCACAGGAAGGAATCATCTGAATTTCCAACAAAAAGGATTTAATTTACATGTGAAGTAGAACTTTACAGTTTTAAAGTTAGGTACAAGATTGTGGAATCCCTGTTGTTAGATCCCTCAGTGATGGTCTCAGTGCAAAGGGAATGCAGGCCAGATAGGATCAATTGGGAGGCTGGATTTAACCGTGGGCCATCTTTTGTCCACACCTGACCTAGTATTTCACAAAAGAGATAATTTACATTATGTCTTTTTAGAATAGCTGGAAATTAAAAACTATCTCTTCCTTCCCCTCCCCTTCCAGAAAAGCTTCATTTTTAAATGCAAATAGGAAAATGTATTGAATCAACATTTGGGTACTCTTGTGCAAGTGTTTTGATCTATTAGTGTGGTCTCACATTCATAAACCTTATAAACATGAATTTTTCTTTCTTAAAGCATATTCATATTTTTATGTCACACTTGTATACAGTTTAGACACTGTAAAATGATTTGAGTTAATTCTATTTTTATCCTCACATATTTGAACCAGTTATGCAAAATTAATGCATGCTTGGCTGTAAATCCCCAGGCAAAAATTACAGAAAAATAAAGTCAAAGATTATGCTTGCACTTTGTAACTTACATTTTCTCAGGTTCCTTTTTGCATTTGCCTTACCAACAAAACCTGGCCCTAAATTAAACACTTGTAGGGTTCAATGCTTGTTTTATGACTGAATTAAAATAATAGAGCGAGAATTCAAGTTACTTTGTTTTATATTCTGTATTTGTGACCTATCACTGTCTCTCATACTTTTGGCAACTAACTTTTTATTGTATGTATTCAGTGTATTAAACATGTTCTCCCATGTCTGAAAGATTGATTCCATCCAGACTGCATAATATTCCTTTGAAGTACCAATGCTTTGGTTCTCACTTGAGCATAGCTATTGCTATAAACTTCTTGAATAATATATGCTAAATATGTTTTATGGAAAACTGTTGCTGTCTTTATAATGTAAAAAAAAAATCCCACCTTGGCAACATTTTACTGTATGAATTTTGTTTGATTTGTGTTGTCGTTAGAGATATGATCTGAAACACTGGAACGGGTATCAATACTGTGTTTAGTATTATCACTATCATTTTTATTTAGAATTATATCCTGGTTTGTAATGCTGCATTCCTAATAATAATCAAGAAAAACATTAACTGATATGGGGAGAGGGGATCATCCCCATACATTATGCATTCACATAAAAATTAAGACGAGACCTATTTAACTTTTAAAGGTTTTGTAATATTTCACCCCCTTCTTAGACTGCCAGCCATTGTGAGAGGAGATGCCATTGATAGATACTGGCCCACAGCTGATGGACGTCTGGTGGAATATGACATAGATGAAGTTGTTTATGATGAAGATTCATCATTTCAGAATATCAAAATTCTTCATTCAAAACAGTTTGGGAATATTCTTATCCTCAGTGGAGATGTTAGTAAGTACGGTCTCTCTAAACTTACTGTCTGAAACTGTAGGTCCTTTGGATTCTGTCTTGTCAGTGTACCCATATAGTAGGCAGTAGTCTTTTGGATAGCTGCTCAGAAAGTGTTTAAATAAAAAGTTTTCTTATAGAACCCACACCACCATATTCTTTTCACATTTAACTTTTTCAATTTGCAGTATTTGAAATTTTATTTAAGGATCAGGAAAGCAAACTCAGCAATCAGTCCTCTAAAGAATTTTTCGTTTTTGAAGAAAAATAAAATAGTGGGATTGGGGGATGGAGTAGTTTAATCGTGTTTATCATGTGAAACTCTGTTTATCTTACGGTATCATAGCCAAAGTGATGGCTTATTTTCCCCTCAGAATTATGGCTTTATTCTGGTTAACTGGCTTTCTTTGGCTGAGGAGCTGTAGAACACCAATATATCAACCTTCCTATTAGCCCTTTATTAAACTTATATGGATTCTCCTTGTCCCACAGAAATTTTGAAGAAATATTAATTAAATAAGGGTCCAAACTTATAGAAGTCTGTCTGTCTGTCAGGGGTGGACAAAATATAGACTGCAGGCCCCCTAAAGAATGTAGAAAAAATGTATCTGCTCTTGGCTATGTGTCAAAGATAACAGGAGTCAGTGGCAGTAGGACCCAAGGGGAGCCGTCAGCAGCCCAGGTCCACCCCACCCCCAGCCATTTCCCAACCTTCCTGCCCCCATGCTGCTCCACTGCCCCATGGCTCCCAGGTGCATCACCGGACTGGGGAGAATCATAGAATCATAGAAGTCGGGTCGGAAGGGACCTTGTAGAGCTTCAAGTCTGACCCCCTGCCTGGGCAGGAGAGAAAACTGGGCTCAAATGATTCCAGCCAGGTAGGCATCAAGCCTCCTCTTAACGACCCCCAGGGTAGGAGCCAGCACCACTTCCCTTGGAAGTTGGTTCCGGATCCTAGCCGCTGTAACTGTGAAGTAGTTCTTACAGATGTCTAATCTAAACCTACTCTCCAGCAACTTTAGCAATTTTTAGTAAATCTACAAATTCAGAGTTTCTGTTAAATTTTTCTCTTTGTTCTGTTCAGATCTGGCAGAAAGTGACCTGGCATATACAAAAGCCATTATGGGCAGTGGGAAGGAAGACTACACTGGGAAAGAAGTGCTGATCCTTGGAGGTGGTGATGGGGGTATACTTTATGAAATAGTCAAACTGAAGCCAAAGATGGTCACTATGGTAGAGATATCCTTTCAATGTGTAACTGGTTACTCATTTTAAAGTTTCAGTGTTGTTTTTCTTTGGTATCTATGGATCTCAGCATTAAACATATTGTTATGCTAATATACATTGAAAGACTGAGTATAAAACAATTCCTTTCTATTGATTTTTAAAAGAGTCTGATTCTAATATCTGAGCACTACTTCTTTCACTTGATCCTGCTCTAGTTCCAGGATGTAGTTCCCAGTCCAAACTGGGATCTTGCATAGGACAGGAAAGGACTGCTTGTGCCAAGGCTAGTCTTCTGCTGTTGCAGCCAACCTACCTGAACTTTGGGCTGAACCCCTTACTTTATTTGCCTAATTTTTAAAGCCACTGAACCAATGGGAACATCAGCATTTAGTCTTTGGTAATAATGACCGACGGATCCTTTTTTCAACTATGCAGTTTAAAGAAAATAACTTTAAACCTCAAAATTCCAGACATTGCTTGCAAAGTTAACCATTAGATACATTAAATCTATGGTCATCCTGTACTCTCTTGTCTTAGGTGGAAACTGAAATTGTAGTTTTAAAATGAAGTGCAATCCATCACTACCAGTTTTGTTTAATTTCAAATAATATGTTAACTATAATATAAAGCTTTTTAATTATGTGGGAATTTCTAGTGCCAGTAAGGCTGATTGGAAATAAAACATTAAAAAATATATAGTTTCTTTAAACCTGTCATGGAAGTTGGGGATTAATTCGTATGTAAATGTGTTGTTAGTATTCTTCTATATGATTCAGTTCCTTTGAGAAGCTCCTTTGGCTGAAATTAAAAGCACCTTAACTGACATCAAACATTGACCAATTGGTGATCGACGGGTGTAGAAAATACATGCGTAAAACATGTGGAGATGTCTTAGACAATCTTAAAGGAGAGTGCTATCAGGTAATCTTTCATTGCAAATAAACTTATGTACGAACATATAACTGAAAGAGACTTGAAAAACTAATTTTTTCAGAAAGGCTTTTGGGGGACTTCAGAATTACTTAACACTTTCTTTTCCTTTTGATTTGCAGTTTAATTGATATCTGTATATCTAGATCATAGTACAGTTTGCAGAAAAGTTAAAATTCAAATGCTGGTGTATTACTTTATTCTCCACCTCCAAACCCACTACAAATATTTTTAAAAATATGAATAACCTGTACTTTTCACGAGAAGGAAACTAGGAACACAATAATGCATGTTGCCACCACTGAACCTTGGTATAGGCTAAATAGGGAGGAAAAAGGCAATGGCTATAAAAGAAAGAAACAAATAAAAATACAGGGGGATTTTTTTTTTTACTATAATCCTCTAAAGTGGTTGAGAAATCATATAAATCACAAACTTGAACTGATTTATAATACATTATTCAATATCTCTGTATTTCACATGACTGGAGCCCTTTAGAGCACAAACATGGAAAATCCTATATCATTAGCCTATAGTTTAATATTGTGCCCCCATTGTAAGGAAAAAGGAGGTCCCTGACCTATATTAAAATGGTGCAACTGGGACATGAGGAATGCCGCCTCACTCCAAACGTTGTATATCCTGCCATGCCACGAGCTTGGCAGGATGCTCATTGTTGGGATGCAGCATAAAATTCCTCAAATTAAAATCATGCCACTTGCAGATTTGCCCTCAGCTCGGTGTTGGGATTGGACACCGACAGCCTTGGATCCCAATTTGGTTTAAGAGCTGCCACGAGCCTGATCCTGGGGATCAGGGAATCTGGGACTGGTGCCAGCAATCAAATGATTGCCAGCACCATCCCTGGGCATCCTGGATCTTTGAAGTACTGGGTCACAGTGGATTTCCTGGGGCATGGTACTGTAATGAATCTGATACCTTTTAAAGAGGCTTGCCCTACAGCTGCTCCCAGGGGCTGCAAACAGGGCAGCAAACATGCTGGATCCTGGCTAGCCCTCATTGGTTGCAGACTGGGTGTTGCTCAGGTCCTGATGCCAAAAATTACCCAATTGTGAGCATCAGAATGGTGAGGTATGCCACATATTCATTTTATGGTGCCATACAAATCAGCCGCAAAGATGCTCTGTTTTTTTTCCGTGGAATATCTTTGTGGCTGGTTTGCCATTTTATAGTGCCATAAATTGGATGAATTGCAGTATCTTGTTACTTATGGTGGGATTAACTCTTCAGTTGTGCCATAAATATCTTGCTTGCCAGGGAGCATATAACAAAAGGGCATATAACATGCCTTATCTACCAAATCAGGCCAGTTAGCCCATACTTACTGGATAGTCCTATATCATAACTGCAAGGCTGTATCCAAAATTCTTATCTTGCTAGTTAAGATTTATGAATGTCTGCTTCCTACAGAAAACATAATGACTGCATTGCATGTTGTTTTGGCTTTTGTCAAGTTCTTGTGATTCGAACATTTAAAACTTTCCATTATCTTGTAAGGCTGGTGACGGTCATTGCACTTCAACTTCCCCATCATCAAAATGGCAGGCTTGGTCATCACCCAGCAGTTGGTGGTAGAGCTGGGAATAGAAGTTCTTTTTGCTTGTTTGTTCTTTATTTTTATTTTTGCTCAATTAAATTCCCTGTGTTCCCATTCCCTCAGTTAAGGGAATGTCTTTTACATGATAATGTAAAAAGCCACAAGGTAGTCCTTGATTTTAGAGGTAAATGTAATTTTGACCACGTTTCAATTTTCAATTTTAATCCCTATGAATCCATGTTTGGTTTTTTTTTAGATAGTCCCATTTAAGAGGATCCTGATTATCAGGGATCCTGGTTTTCTCTGAATTAAAAAAAATCCCCAATTTTTGGTTTAACTTTTTTTAAACTGAAAAAGTAAGAAATTTTTTAAAATCAGAAAACCAGGATCCCTGCTGATTACACATTAAAATAATATTTTTTCTTCTTTTAGGTTCTAATAGAAGATTGTATTCCAGTGCTGAAGAGGTATGCCAAAGAAGGAAGGAAGTTTGATTATGTAATTAATGATCTGACAGCTGTTCCAATCTCCACATCTCCAGAAGAAGGTTAATTCTCTTTGTTTCTTTTCTGACATTTTATTTTTTCCTCTGACAATTTGCAGCAAAACATTTTGGGGCTTAAAGATATTTTAATCCTTGCTATAGCAGAATGTGAGCATTGAAGAGCAACAATTTCTAGGTACTCCGGTTTCCCTGGATTTAGGTCCCTTTGAAAAATTACACCTAAAATGCGATTGACCCGGGTAATCATGACATAAAGCCAGCCACAAAAATATTACACATTTTTTATGGAATATTTTTTTTCTGGCTTGTTTCTGTTGCACCTTAAATTTAATGTGTTGTAGGGTAGCAACAAACTGGAGTTGGTTCCAGACTTCCATGCGGTGCTGGGGCTGCGACTGTCTATCAGCTGATTGTTGATCATAGCCCTGGGACCACTCCAGCTCATGCTGGGCTGTGAGCCTGTGGCTTTCACCTTACTGGTGCAGGGGGAGCCTGGGATCATGATAAGCAGTAATGGCACCATATCTTTCCCATATGCATAGAGCTTCTTTTAAACAGTAATAAAGTATGTTAGACAGTGGCAATACAAATCTGCCTCTACAGCTTGCCATGGGTTTTTGACCTATGCAGGGAACTGTTTAGAAGGATCTTTTGAGTCATGTAGTACCCTGCTATTGTTGGTGGTTATGTCCTGTAATTCCTTTCACAATATAATTTAAGCTGTAGTTTCAAACCCATTAGAATACTTGGGGTAATACAATGCAAGCGTTATTTCAGAACTGCCCTCCTCTGATTATAAACCTTCAGCTTCCAAACTAAACTTTTGTTAATAGTCAGTGTTACTCATGTATTCTTGTGCTAACATTTTACTTTAGCATGCATAGCTGTTTGTTCTGTCTCTCTCATGTATTCTTCTGCTAACATTTTAATGTGTGTAGCTGTTTGCTATCTGTTTCTCTCATGTATTATTGTGCTAACATTTTTAGTGTGCATAGGTCTTTGCCACCTCCCAACCCCTCCTCCCCTGTCGCTCCATTTAAAAAAAATGGTAAAAGCTTGGGTTGCTCTGGTATGATTCCAGACAGCATCCCACTTCTGTTACTCCAAGTCTCGAGACCCCCTTCTCTTACTCCAGTCCTTAAGAACATCCAGCTTTTCTTTGTATGATGTATTCTCATCTGCTGCTGTATGGGTGATCCCAATTGACTGTCCTTAACAAATTTCACTGAATCCAAAGACAAATCCTCAAGCAACTTCCCTCTAGGCCACAGCCTCTCCTTTTAGTACAACCCATTTCTATCTACTTTGTAGCCCATTTTTTTAACCTGATTATCAGATGGTCTCCAACCATAATTTAACTAGCTAGTTTGATGCCTCCACCAAAATTTTAACAAGAGCATGTTCTTTTCTCTGTGCTATTATTTTCCTTCAATAGGCAATGGACCTCTGGCATGCAAACTGGTAGACATTGTATTTAGAAATCTAGAGTTTTGCTGCTAATATTTGTCCCCTGAATAACTCTACAAATGAACAAAAAATGCAGCAAAGACAGTAGTCAAGTTGATCACTGCTAAACTATTATGTCTTATAGGTCAAAAATGAAAGTTATGAAAATTTAAAATAATGACCTTTGGATTCTAGAAGAAATACCCTTGGGTACTGTAAATTACTCTTCTTATCCAAATAGCCTGTTTCTTAATTCTGGTTAGTAAATCTAAACTACGATGGTTCAGGTAGGTAAGGCAAGCAGCTTATGCCATTGTGGAAATCTGTATGGAAATCTGAGTATTAGTGCTAAGCTGTAAATCTTTAATAACACCAGTGACCTAAGCATGCTCTGGGTGGATTAGATTCATTAAAGAGCATCTAGTCTGTGTAAGAGAAGTTAAATAGTTTTCCAGGCAGATGTTTGTACCAGACATTTCGAGTGAAGAGGAGCAGAGAGAAATAAATGTTTTAGATCGTGGAACAAGCACAGTTGCTTTGCAGATACAGTAGATGAGAAGACCACGTTTTTTGCCTGCCAACTCATAGATTCTCCAAATAAGCCATGTTTGAGCAACTCCAAGGCAAAAGGAGAGCTGTTGCTCCACCCCAGTCTTCACAGAACATTAAATACCAAAGCAGCATCTTTAAAGATTAACATCTTGAGTAAATGAAAGAGGATGGGTTGTTGATGAAGGCTCTGTCTTGCATGTCCTGAAGGTGCAAGATGTGGATTGGTGTAGCCACCTTCCAGTTCTTCCCTGTTGAACTGATAATTCATATGTGGCACCATCTCAAATGTTTTACTGAAATCCACGTTAATTAGATTTAGTGCATTTCCTTTGTCTAGGAATTGGATACCAAATTATCTTGGCAGGACCTACGTTTCATGGACTCTTTTGACAATCTATTCTACTTGCCATGGCTTGAATTATTTTTTCCTTCAAAATTTATGTGCCCTTTCTTATTGTTGAAATGAGACTAAGGGCCCTGTAGCTCTTAAGATTACCTCCCCCTCACCCCTCTTCTGCTTTTCTTAAAATATAGGACTTTTGGTGTTCCCCAGCCCTGATTTGATGGGTTCAGAATCTATAAGTACACTTTCTTGAATTGGGCCTTTTATAAAATTGGAATATATAACATAAAGATGTCTTGAGTATTTTCTGGCAGGGATATAATTCAGTTTTTAAATAAAATTTACTTCCATATTTGAGGTGCATGTAATATACATTTTGAGCATTTTTTGTCCGGTTCCCTTTTCTCTTGGTGGCAAAATCTATATTATGGTATCAATAAAAATGATATATCATCATAATATAAGCATTAAAATTGGTCATAATGTGGTCTGCAGAAAGACTGTCATTTCCTTACAGAGCCATCAAACTCTCTTTGATCTTGTAATATATAGCAGTCAGACGCATTCTTGAATCCATGCAGAATTAAATTCAAGGTTAAAACATAAGGATAGGCAAGCCTAAGGCATGATTTATTGACTGGAGAAAGTAGGAAGGAAACCAACAATGACTTGCTCAGGTTAAACACAGTCATAAAATGTATCTTTTACATGTAAGTTGTACAGTGAATCTTTACTGTTTTAAAGTAGTCTGTGCTCTTGTTTATATTTGACATTAAACATAAGTAATGTTTACCTGCTTTTGACCTTTTGTATATAAGCACATATTCTTTAAAAGAACAGTAGTACATAAACTCCGGATTTCAATTTTCAGAATACTGCTTTTCTTTTATGAGGCCAGCTCTGACTTAATAAAAATCCCACTGCACAGATGTTTTCTAATACTGGTGTAAGTCAAGGATATTTTTACCAAGCTTAATCCAAAATAAAGAGTAAGAAAACTGACAAAAATTCAAGTCGAAAAGAATCTCATAGATCCTGAATTGCACTTTGATTTTTTTTTTTTTAAAGAAACCCTTCCACAGACTGCAAATCCATCAGAAAAAGACATTAAAAAATATAAACAGCACTTCATTTGCACCTTAGGCTTAGGGAAAATAGAATGCCAAACCATTTTCAAAAAGGCCAAAGCATTATTTCTTGGAAACATATCAGCTAAACTGTTGCAACTTTCATCTGCCTGCTTTTATGCAGATAAATAGAATTGAACCTCTGTGACTCTAAACATGTACGAAACGGATTTAAAAGGAGAGCTGTTTACCTTCCATTTAGAATGGACAGATAAATCAGTAACAGTTGATCAGCTGTAAATAGCTGTAACTTTAAAGTTTTTAACTATTTTTTTGATTACCCCCATGGAAGAACTTTTGGAAGAAAAAATGCTTAGTGTGAGAGAGTTGTTTTAGTTCAAAAATGTTTTAAGGGTACAGATGTCCCCATCTTTCTCCATCCCCCAGCTTTAAACTAGATTCACCAGGAGATGGAGACCAAAGCCCTGGGGTCAGTGGGTGACCTGGAGGAAGTGCAAGCAGGAGGGGACAACAGGGGAGGCATTCTCACTCTTCCTGAGAAATCAGGACAATTGGCTAGTTACCTTAGGTGCCTGTATGTGAATGCACAGAGCCTGGGAAACAAGTAGGAAGAATTAGAAGTCCTTGTACAGTCATGGCATTATGATGTAATTGGAATAACAGAGATTTGGTGGGATAGCTTGCATGACTGGAGCACCATCATGGATGGGTACAAACTGTTCAGGAAAGACAGGCAAGGGAGACAAGGAGGAGGAGTTGTGCTGTATGTAAAAGAGCTGTATAATTGCTCATAGCTTCAGTCTGAAACGGGAGACAGGCCTGTTGAAAGTCTCTGGATTAACGTCAGAGGGGAGAGTAACAATGGTGATGTCATGGTGGGGGTCTGTTATAGACCACCAGATCAGGAGATTGTGGTGGATGAGGCTTCCTTCAAACAGCTAGCAGAAGTTTCTCAATCGCAAGCCCTGGTTCTCTTGAGGGACTTTAATCATCCTGAGATCTGCTGAGGACAATACAGTAGTGCACAGGTAATCCAGGAAGTTTTTAGAGAGTGCTGGGGACATTTTCCTGGTACAAGCACTGGAGTGGTCAGTAGGGGCCATGCTGTTCTTGAACTGCTGCTCACAAACATGGAATTATTGGTGGGAACGTAGTAGTGGTTGGCAGCTTGGGCAGCAACGACCACGTGGTTAGCATTTGATTAAATTGTTGCCTACGAAAGCTCATGCCTCTGTGAATCATTTAGTTTGTGAGGTGCTACCTTGCCCTACCTTCTGGCTGACTTGATGCTAACATGGCTAATCATCTCTGAACTGTTCTCTAAAACAAACTCATTTGGTCCCATGGGTGGGGTCTAGAGCAAGGATCTCTGTTATCTGGTCCACTAAGCTGCAAATTTGGTGGTGAGGTGAGACACATGGCAGTGTTAATTGGAGCTTCAGCAGCAGCTGCTCATTCTACCACCAAATACCTGACCTATAGGCAGCCCCACAGGCCAGATAACATGGCTCTGCACACCAGATCTCATGTGTGGCACTGCCAGGAAGTCAGAAATTTGGAGTGAGAAAAATGGTGGCTGCTGGGGCTCCTAAAACCACTGGAATTAACACTACTTTCTCTTGCTTCAGCACCAATTTTCTGGCTTCATTGGCTGGATGACATGACTGTATAGGCTGGGTCTGGCCTGCGGTTCATGTATTTGAAACCCCTGCTCTATAAATAGTAATCAGTAAAACTGATTAAATATTAATGGCAGACTGGTAACTTTTAAATGTGTTAATTCTTTTCTTCTTTTTTTGATCTCCAGATTCTACTTGGGAGTTTCTACACTTGATTCTTGACCTTTCCATGAAAGTCCTGAAACAAGATGGAAAATATTTCACACAGGTATACAGCTAAATATATATCACCAACAATTTACATCTTTGGATAGTGAAAAATATCCAGGCAAACATTTTCTTTGTTTAATATATCTCTAGAAATATTTTTGTGAAACATGGACTTTGCTTCTATTGGACTTAGTTTTTACTGTTTATTCTCAGCTGAGGTCATACTGTTCATGTCTTGACATCTATAAACACAATTTCAGAAACATGATGAATTGTCATAGAGGATTATACCTTCAAGTGACATTCTAAAAAAACAAGAACAGATGAACTGTTATAAACAGAGAACTGGTTTTCATGCCAATGACTGATAATAAAAACAAAAGATGAAAACTTGTTTTTCATATGGCGTGACTGAGTTTAAAATTGATCTACTGGACATCTAACAAGCAATACATTTGGAATAAATAATACAGTGTAATTCTCTTCTTTCCCCTGCCATAATTTCAGCTTTGCTCCAAGGATAAGATTTTGCAAGACACAACCTTTGAACGATATGGTTTAATTTGTTAAAACTTGAACTTGTGAAACCACTTTGAGCAAAGAGAGTGGGAACACTCTTCGTTTTAATAAGGATAGGATTTCACCCATTAACTGTGGAAAGGTTTAGTCCAATATCTTTTAGTTCCTAACTTTTCCTCCTTAAGTGTATATTTTTTTTTTAAAGTAGCTGAAGTGCGACCACTTCAAATCTAATTCTAAAATTCATTAGGCAACACCTTTTTTATATACAATAATAGAATGATATAAAACCATACATAAACATAGCAAAAACATTTTACCAAGTACATACTTGTACTCTTGAGTTGTTGTCGGTGTTTTGTTTTTTTACCAACTAAGTAAATCTCTGAACTGTTCTTTTTGCATATCTAACATCCAGGTGTAGTAATAAGTTAGAATTTTTTAATACTCTAAAACTTGTGTTTAGTGAGCAAGCTAACTGTGATGGCTTATCAGAATGTTTTAATTTGACCTTGATTTCTGTTTAAGCCAGCTGTGCACTTGTTAAGAGGAGACCTGTTGGTGAAAAATGAGAATTTATTTGCTGTTCTTTGCTAGATGATTTTAGTTCAGATAGCCTCAATTCTGGGCCAATCTCTTAATTGGCTTGCTGATTTTCTTGTACTGATTTCCATGCTATTTAGAACCTAAACAGTTCTCTGAAGCCTTGACCATGAGAATGGGACATCTTTGAAATATTAGAATCTGGGCACTTTCTTAATCACTTATTAAGTATTAAAGACGCTTCTGTGGTTGTCATGACACACGTGGCATATAGTCTCCTATACAATGACCATATACATCATTTTAGGTTTTTTTAATTGTAGGTTTTACATTAATGCTCAATGTATAAACTCCATCTGTATGCATGTGTGTGTAGTAGCATGTTATAAAGAAGTTCCAGGAAGAGACTTAAAAATGTTTTGCTTTGGTATATGAGTGGTGGGCTTTGTTTTAAATCTTCCTTATCCCAAAAGAATATTTATAGGTCAATTGGTAGAGGGAAGGGACTGCTAATAGAAAGAAAACCAATAAAAATGCTTTGAATTGACATAAGCTGTTGACATTTAACATACTACACAAGCACAGGAGAGATGGGCTCTTAGACAGCTCACCCATGCTGAGGAGACTAAATGTATTATTATTTTCAAAAAGAAAAAGAAAAGCCGATACACTCATTGGGTTCGCTAGCTTAGGAAAAACTCATTGCTGCACTCACGTTTTTTCAGAGCCTTCAATGACAATGCAGTTTCTTAATGTAAAGACAAAACAAGATTTTTCATTGACGTACCTCTACCCCTTTGACACCTGTTTGAACCTGTTACACCTGGATCTGGTAATTGAACAGTCCTCACTCAATTCCTTGAAGGGGCATTTTTAATGCTTAGTAAAATCAGCTGTCATTAGTTGTGTGCAGCTTGGAACAGGGGTGGCCAGCCTGCAGCACGCATGCCGCAAGTGGCAGTCTTACTGGCATGTGGCAGACCAAGAAGACAGGCAGTATGGTGGCAGATAGGGGAAGAAGCAGAAAGCAAAGCAGCAGGTTGGGCAAGGAGAACGGGGCAGGGAACAGAAAACAGAGCAGCTGATTCCACAGGGAAAGAGAACCAGTGTGGCTCCCAGGAAGTTTGGGGCCAGGGGATTAATTTTGAGGCATACCTCCCAAAAAGATTGACCACCAGTGACTTAGAGTAATGTACTTTAAATTTAGATATTCCTGAAGCAGGGGTAAGCAACCTTGAAGGAACTTCCTGCCAAAATAAGGCAGGCTGGTCCAAAGGTGAACCACTGCTTGTGTCCCAGCTGCCATTCCAGCCCCCCGACTGCAGCTTCTGCCTCCTACCCCTTGCCACTGTTTCCTGTTACCCCTTCATATCATAAATGACACATTCAGCAGTGAGAAGTGGCAGGTGCAGTAAAGGGGTGCCCAAGAGAGAGAGCAGGGAGGACTGGGATGGTAACAGATGGAGAAACTGGAATAAGGTGGCAAAGTGGGATACATAGGCAGAGGGGACCTGAGGAGTCCCCCTGTAGACCAGTACTAGGTTGCATACATTAATTTGGTGAATGTGGATATATTCACTTGGTAAATGTGGCTTGTGGGCTGTAGGTTTCTTACTCTTCTTTCTTAAAGGATATGCTTAAACCTTAGAGACACAAGTTAATGTTATTACCAGTAATTTCCATTTGGTATCAGAACTTACTGCATTTTTCAAAAACAAATAAACTATTTTGACAGCTATGAGATGGGTAACTGTTATGAAATTCTGACTGTAATTGGGCTGTACTTCAGTCTCCTACTCTGGTTGCTCTTGGTAGGTTAATTATTTGCTGATTGTTATTGTTAGCCCACTTGCCATATCTATCCATATCTCCTTTTTAGGCTTGTGTTGGATTTGCTCTTGCTTTGAGTTAAGTGGATTGCAGACCAGCTTGAATGGTCCAGGTTCTGTACAGATATTGTAGTGAGGTATTGCATAGGATCTCTCTGCAGTTTCATGCAGTTAAAGCTGAAGAGTTGGTAGAGAGGTTTTTTAACATTTGGTAGAGATACTAAAACATACAAGTGATTGTAAACAGGTAATTAGATACAAAAGCGATATAGGTATAATAACTTTAGGAAACAGAGCCAGCATGAAAGTCTGGAAGAGTAGTAACTGAGTACCCCTTGCTATTGTATAACCATTATGCCCTCCATATTTAAATGTGTAATGTAATTTTTCCTTCTATGCAATATTATATTTGGACTAATTCAGCCTTTATAGTTACTTTTGTTACACATGCAAGATGCAGTTCTGAATTTTTTAGAGTTTTTCCCCTTATTCTTTAACTGTTTAAAGTTTTGAGTATTTAATATAAATTAAGGAGGATAAAAAAGCCCTTAGTGCTCCAAACTGGTTAAAAATTACTGTTTCCAATAAAGTGATTTAAATTTCAAATTCATCTTCATCAAAGCTGCCTTTATACATAGACCTCTCTGCAGCACCTTTTGACAGGCCTAAGGCAGACTTATGCTTTAAGGCTGCAACGTGCATTGTCAAAGCAGAATTGTGAAGATCAAGGTTGTGAAAAATGTGTCAGTATTAACATCTAGCAGTTCTAAAACAGATGTGGTTGATGAGCTAAGCACAGCATATGTAAATTATAAGCTATATTACAACAGTGTCTAGGGAACACTAATCTTTATTGTATCATTTTGCTAAGCACTAACAAATGTGTAGTAAGATACAATTCTGCCTATAGAGCCTTCCTCCATTTGGAAAAACATGTTTAAAAGTAGAGTATCATAAGGAAAATGGAGCTGTAATGGTATCAAGGTCTGCAAAAGGTTTTCTATAAAAAGTGAATGTTGCCCATTCATTTTTAAAATTTTCACCATTGAATCAGTAATATGGTTTTTTGGATCCATTTATATTTGGAATGGGAGACTCCTTTTTTATTATTATTAAACCTGCAACTCTTCCAAATGCAAACTATGAAAGAAAGCAAGACATGTGGCATGGTATGATAAAAATCTAAGCCTATCAGTAGCGACTCCTTGATGGTTTATAATTTGCTTGTACATAGGTATGTTATTGTACATAGGTTATGAACAGTCCATGTCTTTGTTGGCTGCCAGGTTGTCTAGAATTGTCATGTAGCATTACCACATACGGGGATCCACAGTCTGGTACAGCATGTTTTTTCTCTCTTCTGTTACCAAACTGATGGGCCTGGCATTGCTGTAGGGATCCCTCTCCAGAAATGTTTAGGTAGAGTTGCATCTCAGGCTAGCTCAGAGGGCTTTTCATGATGGCTGATTGTAAGAGGGCTCCACATCATTTAAATAAAGTGGAGAATGGAGCAAGGGGTAATGTAAGTGAATGATTGATTGATTGTTTTGCCCTTTACATAGTATATATAACAAAATCTGCAAAATACCTACGTAAAAATTAATAGAAATTGCATAACAGGGACAGGGTCTTTCATTATACTATCAAATTGGATGGGTTTAGTATTTTATACAGTTGACAGGGCATGCTATTATAGTGGGAATATCTTTCTAAGAATAGTAGAAATTAGATTGTTTTACCTTTCTTTCTTAATGACTAAAACGTACTTGAAGTTTTTAGTTTTTTATTGATATTTGCAAAGTAGCTTTGTTCTTTGTAAACTTTTCCTTGCATGTAATTTCACCTTGCAACATGATCATTCTTTAGAAATACAGATGAAGCGCTTCAGGCCAGGTCCTATTCCACCTGCTGGGCGTCTAAGTGAACTGAGGTGCCTAAGTGTAATTCTAGGCCACTGTTCACAAAGTCCCTGAAAATCCATTAATATGTCTCTACTTTTCCGTGTCCATTCACAGCATCTGATGAAGTGAACTTGGGTTCATGAGAATGTGTGCTCTGTCTGTTTGTCTATATATACGTGTACATACAACATAAGTGGAATAGAATCTGGCCCATAGGGTGTGGACAAATGAGAACATTAGGAGCCCTTTCAAAAAGGGAATGATTC